ACTAGGATATATCTTTTTTTTTTTTTTTGAAACCGGGGTTGAACTCAGGACCTTATGTCTGTGAGGCAGGTGGCAGAACCACTGAGCTAAATCCCTGGCTCTCACAGTATATATCTAAAAACTTGGTTTTGGCTAGTGTTCTTAAAGGTGCTAAATGCTTTACCACTATATAGTCTGTGGGAAAATAAATGCTTATGTTGTGCTTTTTGAAAATATACTTGCTCTGCTTCTTATCAAAATGGACTAATTTCTAAAAAAGAGCCCACCTACAATAAATAATAGAGCCCTACAGAGAATATATGAAACCACTATTATCAGCCAATGGCCAACAGGAAGCACAAGACTATGACCCTTAAGAGAAAGAAAACCAATGAAGTAAAGCTCAGAATAGCCCTGACTATTTGCCCAGAGAAACTCTGCAGACTGCCACTGGAGGAAGACAAGCACAGGTGGAACACGAGGCCTCATGAGAAGAGACTGAGCAAAGACTGAGGAAGCCAAAGTGCCTGGAATTTTGTAGAGAAGAGTACTGGAAAGTAAGTAGGTTGAGAAAAGAGTTCAAGAAATATGCACAAGGGCCTTTTCAAATTTTGGCTGCTTATTAAACTACCTACAGTAACATTCCACATACCAAAGAACAACTCCTGGGGAGGAACAATTACTGAAAAACTATAAAAACCAAGCAATTACCAGACCTCCTCTCAGCCTGAGATATATCCAAGTTCCCATTAGAGTAGACAAACGCCACTGAATCCATGCATTATTCAATACAGATTCCAGAATATTTATGCCTCCGCAATGATATAAAATTGTCTTGAGAATATACACTATTCTATAAGTGCTTTAACAAAGCTTAAAAACAGATATCAAAAAGATTAAGCTAATCCACATGAAATCTGAATATTTGCCAGAACAAAGCTTGATACTATTTGATGAATCACAACAAAATCCAATGAGGTAAAACTGACAATGCTCAAATCCAGTAAAAAAATTACTAGACACAAAAGAATTAAACAAACCAGCTCTTGCCCAAAACCAGAAGAAAAATTAGCCAACAGGAATAAATATAGACATGACAGAGATGACGGAATTAGCAGAAAAAGACTGTAAAGCACTTGCCATAAGTAGCTCCAGTATTTATAAGAAAGCATGAATGCAATGAGAGAAATGGAAATTGTAAAAAAGAACTTAGAAAAATTCTGAAACAAAAAAGAATAATATCTGAAATAAAAAATCTGTTAGATGGCTGTAACAGCAATTGGATGCTACAGAAGAAGAGGTCAGGAGTGTGAACAGAAGGAGTAAAGTATCATATTTTCCAGCGATTGATACTGTAATAATCAGATGTCTGTATTGAAAAATATCAAGCTCAGCCACAAGACAAACTAGAAATAGATTGGAAAAATCAATGTAAAACCTATATATTTGTGACCTTGAGTGGGTAAAGATTTCTTAGAACTAAAATTAGCCATAAAAACCCAAATTAATAAAAT